TCTGTGGTTGCTACAGCTCTTCTATTGTTGCTATGGTTCTTCTGTGGCTGCTACAGTTCTTCTGTGGTTGCTACAGCTCTTCTATTGTTGCTATGGTTCTTCTGTGGCTGCTACAGTTCTTCTGTGGTTGCTATAGTTATTCTGCGGCAGGCCAAAGTTCAGATGGAAATACAGATGTCTTAAAGGGCTTTGATGTCGTCCTACCTAACTTGGTTTGTCTTCCTTCTCCAGGCGTCCTGAGGGAGGTACCGACCCATTTCATGGTTGATACCCGGGCTCACTTTAAGAGTGGAGGCAGCCACATCAAAGTAAGAATCTCCAACCCATCCGGAATCAACACAGACGCCCAGGTCTCTGATAACGCAGACGGGACCTACAGAGTGGAGTACACACCTCTAGAAGATGGTGAGTGTTGAGTTCAGTTGAGTTCTGAGGGACTCCTGAATGTGAAATTGGTTTAGCCACAGTGCTTCAGGCTGAAGAGGATCTGCTGCTGTTTTATGGTGTTTTTTTTTCCACATCAACACTTCATTAATGTAAAGTTAAGAGCTTTGAGGCTCTCATAAAACCTGTTTTCCCTCTGCAGCCATAAAGGAGAGGACCAGGGACATGTAGCCTTCACACCTCCATCTTGGAGCCTTGGAGTGTTTACGTTAATCATCCATGTGTGAAACCAGTTTGAATCAGGCCAGCGAGGAGCAGCAGAGTGAAAACAGTTGGCTGCTTGTATTAATAGCTACAGACGCTCTGCGTGTTTTCCACTGATAGTAACAAGCTGGACCCAGTGCATTGTGGGAAATACTTGGGGTGTATTTCCAGTTAGAGAAAAACAGTTTTCTAGTGTCAAACCCTGATGTCTTGTGACATAAAGAATACTGTCCATTTTCATTTTAAAATCCAAGGCACTGGAATTAGAGCAGAGAAACCAGTTAATATCTGATTCATATCACTGCAGACTTAGTTTAGAATCTACTTATTCATCTAAAGGTGATTCTTGATTCATTGTAGTCCAGATTAAACTGAGATAAACTGCAAGAGAATAAAACTGAGGCTGAAATTAACGCTTTAAAAAGGAAGGTTGTATTATGGGCTGTGAATCTTGGAGGCGGTGTTGGTTTATTAATGGCTAACTGTCTCCATGATGCCCCTGTGTGGGACTGCAGACCTTCTTAGCATCTTCATCATTCCTTTCTGTCTCTCCTGAGGTTTAAAGTTGACTCTTAACAGATTTCCATGCATCTTCCATGATTACTGCCCTTTAAGGCGGGTCCGTTATTCTGCACATGCTCTGTATAGTGGTTTGTGCTCCTCTGTGGTGTAAACCAATCTTTATATATATAAAACTTAAGCTTTATAGCATCTACTCTCGTTCAGCTGGTTCAGACTGGCAGAGATGAGATCATTTCAAGTTTTTACTTTAGATAGAAGCACCAGTTATCCCAGTTTGGTCTGGGCGAAGGCTGCGTGATAAACTGGTCTGGATTAAGGCTCTAATTTAAACCCTTTCTGTGAAACTGGACCCAGTTGATGTTCATAATGGGACATGAGCTCTAATTTAAGCAGGAGCTGATGTGACTCCAAAAAAAAACAAAAAAACATTGAAGACGTTTCGCTTCCCATCCAGGAAGCTTTTTAAATTCAGGAATAGCATTGAGTTCAAGGCTTTACACAGTAGCCCATCAAAACCTTGTTTTTTTTTTTTGAAACAAATTGAAACAGATGGTCCGCCCCTTTGGAATGGGGTCGATTGGCTTATTTTGTTAGCCACCAATGCCCCATACCTGGTTATGTCTTTCTTTTGTTGGCCTGGCTAAATATGCAAGGTCCTCTGTTCCCCTGTAAAGGGATTGGGGTTGCAATGATAGCGGGAGTGGACTAACTTAATTGCCACGTTGGAGGTTTTTGAAAGCTGAAACCTGAGTCCACCCCCTCAGTTCAAGGTTGGTTTTTCTTTCTTGACATAGATGGCTTCCTTCACACACCCCTAAAACACCTATTTTCTTTATCCAAAATGTGAACATTCTGGTCCTCAAAAGAATGTCCTTTGCCCAAAAGGTGTAGATGTACCGCCTAGTCTCGTCTGGAGGGGGTCACTCTTCTGTGTTGGGCCATGCGTCTGTGGAGAGATTGTTTGGTTTCTCCAATATAAAAATCAAAGCATTACCCACTGCATTGAACTGCATACTCCACTCCGCTCATATTTGGTCTGGGGGTTTTGTCCTTAGGATGCACTAGTCTCTGTTTAAGGGTCTTGTTCAGTTTGAAATGTACTGGGATTTTGTGTTTGGAGAAAATGTTTGGAGCTGATGTGACATTGACCTCAGCCATGGTGTAAAGTCAGAAGAAGGCCGAAACTGTTCCAGTTGGATTTATGATGTCAGGAGATATGTATGGGTTCATGGACCCACACCTGAATAGATGTTTACCAGGTGTGTGGGAGGAGGAATGACAAGGTCGTCACTGCTGGGAGATTCTGTGGTTCAGACCATCCTGGTTCAAACCGGCATTTGATTACGTCACAGCAATGTCATTCGTGGTGCCTTCACTGACCTATTGGTTTCTGACATTCAGCTAAAACTTATGGTACCTTAACAGGTTTTCTCTGTGTGTCCAGGTTTGCACTTGATTGAAGTTCTCTTAGATGACGTCTCAGTCCCAAAGAGTCCCTTCAGGGTCTCGGTTACAGAGGGTTGTGATCCCAGCCGAGTCCGTGCCTTCGGCCCTGGTTTAGAGGAAGGACTTGTCAACAAATCGAACAGCTTCACTGTTGAAACCAGGTAATCTAAGTCTACTTGTGTCCTGTGTGGAACCTTCCAGGACTCTCAGGAGCTGGACTGTTTTGGACAGATCTGCATTTGTTCCATGTTAGGGGTGCAGGCACCGGAGGGCTCGGGCTGGCCATTGAAGGTCCATCAGAGGCAAAGATGTCCTGTCAGGATAACAAAGATGGCAGCTGCAGTGTGGAGTACATCCCATTCACTCCTGGAGAATATGATGTGAACATCTCCTTTGGAGGCCTTCCTATTCCAGGTGAGGATCCACCCTTCAGTGCTAGAAATTGTTGAGGAACTATTGTCTACAGACCGGACAGTCTGGTTCTCTTGCAGGTAGCCCATTCCGTGTCCCAGTCCGACAGCTGGTTGATCCCAGTAAAGTCAGGTGTTCTGGTCCTGGTCTTGGAGGAGGAGTCCGAGCTCATGTTCCTCAGACCTTCACTGTAGACAGCAGCAAGGCGGGAGTGGCTCCACTGGAGGTCCAGCTCTACGGACCAACAGGTGAGAAGACATCTGAAACACTTAGGGTTAACGTCCAGGACATGTCTCCTGTGGACCTTCACAGACAAGCAGTTCAATCAAGTTCAGTTTGGATTTTTATGCAATAGAGACTCCATGTCTGACTAGAGAAGTAATACTTTGAATTGTTGACGTAGTCCAGCAGTTATCCTGTTAGGGTTTAGCTTTAGTCCAGGACCAGATGAAGATGATGCCAATAACTCAGAACTTAGCCCGTGTAGATGGCATTTGTAGGGTCCTACTTAAGCCAGGCATACACTTTGCGATATTTTCAATCATTGCACACAGCTACAGCTCACACTAAGAAACCGCAGGGTTTGAAAGTTCACAGCTCATAATGTTTGTTCTCACACTGTACGACCTGACGCTCTGATGCGATCAACCTGCTCACACTGCATGTCTAAAAACCACGTCGGACTCAGCTCCGCATTGAGATGGAGCTACTCGGACTCGAGTGGAAGACGAGTGGAAGAGGAATATGAAGCTCACTAGAATGAAATGCGCTGCCTTGGCAATTTGTGCAATTTTGTTCTGAAAGCCCTAAAAAGAAAAGGCGACAACGTATTTGGACAGAGACATGGCTGAGTAAACGTGGCTACTACGGTCTGTCAACTTTACAAAAAGAACGCCATTTCACTCGAACCCCGCCATGCTTCTGTGTTTCCGTCCTTCATCCTTGTTTAAACACTGAGCGATTTGCCCACGACCACCTTACGACAGCAGACTGAGTTTCAAACATGTTCAATTGTCTCCCGACCTTACCATTCCTGATCAGGAGGAGGTCCTGATTGGCTGATCGACCCTCGTTACCCCCTGTATACTAAATGAAGCACATTCAGGCTGAAAGGGCAAAAAATCTTACAGTGTATGCCTGGCTTTAGGTCTTAAAGACCTAAGTAGGATCCATCTTAAGAACCCCCAAGGATTGCATTAATCTTCAGAAGGGGTGCACCTTAGCTTGAAGCATGGATCTTTTGTACGGTGACCTTGAGTGTCCAGAAATGCGCCTTTGAAAAAAAAAGTATTATTATTTATTATTAAGCATCAGTCTGTGGAACATAGCTGGAAGAATCGGTCTAGATCAGGACAGCATGATGGTCAGCTACCCACTGAAACAGGTTGATCTCAAAGCCCAATCCAACCAGTCAGCTCTATCACACCATCTGTTCCATAAGCAGTCTTCTGGACGCATCGGCTGACTATCCGAGCGACCTGTGGTTCCAGCTGACATGTGGAACATCTTCTGGTTTGTCCTCAGGTGTAGCCGAGCCGGTCATTGTCAAGGACAACGGAGATGGCTCTCACACGGTGAACTACACTCCGGCCAGCGACGGTCCTTACATGGTGTGTGTGAAATACGCAGATCAGGAGGTCCCTCGAAGGTTGGTCCTGAATAGATTCCACTTCCAGAACCGGACCTCCTGTTCACATGTAACCTACCAAACCATCTCCTCTTAGCCCCTTTAAGATCAAAACTTTACCGGCCCATGATGCCAGTAAAGTCAGAGCCAGCGGTCCTGGTCTGAACGCCTCCGGGGTCCCAGCTAGCCTGCCGGTGGAGTTCACCATCGATGCTAGGGATGCTGGTGAAGGACTCCTCACTGTCCAGATCCTGGTGAGTCAGAAAAGTGTGGCTACTAAAACATCTAAAGGCTGTTCCTCATGATGGGAGCACTGATCTCTATTTATTTACTGGATTACTTATCCAGTAAATGTTGGTAGTACGTGGTTGAAGTGAAGCCACCGGCCTCCATATTGGTACTCCCTAGTTAGACCGGTCGCAATGTAAACAATACGTGCTCTACAGCATCAAACAACGATGATGTTCTCATTTTCAGGGGGATTTAAGACTTTTAAAATAAAGATAAATTCATCCCTTTGATACACTGGCTGTTTCATAGCATCAGTAGATTATTTTTAGCTTTTGGTAAAAAATAGGCACATCACATTGAATAGTCATTATGAACTCTATAAATCATGTAATATAACATATTATACAAATCAATCACAATAACATTAATGTGTTAATGGAGCATAATAATACAAATGTGCAAAAAGTGCTAAATTGATCATGTACATGTAATATACATATATTTATTACCTTGTTATGGTAATCACATCTTACATATAATTTTAAGATTTTAGACAAAGACTGAATTACAAGCACGTCTGTTAATGCTATAGTATTTTTCTATTTGTGCATGCATGATACACCTTTATGCTGTGTCTGTGCATCAGCCTTTAAATCTGACAGATTTACAATATAGAGCTAAATTAATGAACCAATTTAATAACTCCAATCCAGAGCTTCAATTTCTACACTAGCAAAATAACATAAATTGCTAAAATAAAAGGCAACATTAATTTCATATTCTACCTTTTGCTCTTATGCTATGTTCACACCTAAAGCAGCAGAGGCAGCAGAAGCAGCTAGTTTACATGCAAAGTTAATAGTTGACGCGCCTCAAGGTGCAACAGAAGGTCCCGTCGTGCATTTTGAGCAGCTGAAGCAGTGCCTTCCGAGCTCCTGAGCATCTGATGAGTGCAATGCGCTGTGAAATAGCAGCTGCAGGAGTTTGAAAAATGTAAGTTTTGCTGCTCGATGTGCCACATCAACCAATCATAGAAGCTAATCTGGTAGCTGGCAGGGAGACAGACACAGCACTGATGATGCAGAGCTCTATGATCACTCCTCTGAAACCGTTTATTAACCCCTAAATTGACTTAAAATGTGGAAACCTGTCGGCTAAATATGTTCGATTTTATTATTCTGGTGCCTGCAGTTTGGTTATACGTGAAAAAAGCCTTCCAGCCACCGTGAACAGTAGCGGGCAGGATGGTAATCTGGATGAACTGACTGCTCCGAGGAAGTTTTCAGGCAGACATTCTCACTTAGAAACATAATAAAACTACTTTTTACCCACTGATCACAGCAAATATAGCTGTCATTGTTACAGGCAAGGAAAGGATAGGGTAGCTCCGCCCAATGTGCATCAGACCCACTTTCCACCGCTCAGCTAGAGCAGCAAAGATGCTTCAGCCGCACGTCAGAACTAAACATGTACAAGCATCAAAAATGAAGCAGCACGAGCGTTTTTGCTGCTCCTGCTGCTTGCGGTCTGAAGGTAGGCTAAGTTACAACGAGAATCTGATCATTTGAAAAAAACTATACATATAAGTATGTATGCACACACTGACACTGACAGCCAGCAAACTGCTTGTTTGTGCAGCCAAATGCAGCACAGGAAGGCATTTATACTGTACATCTCCGTGGGAGTTAGGAGTACCAGAATGCCGGGTGGTGGCTTATTTTTTTTCAGGACTTTTTCAGCAATCCATTGAATAAATAGAGATCCGTGGGAGGGAGCTGTAGAGATGGAACCAAACGCTGTAATGAGCGTAATGAGAGTTCAGTGATCCAGCTCACTGAAGTGTCGCCTTACCCATCTTCTGCTGTCTGTCTTTGAATCCTAATCCCGGCCCGACCCGGCGGCTGGTTTGATGGCGCTGCAGGATCCGGACGGGTGCAGGCGAGAGGCCTCGCTGTTTGTGGAGGACTGGGGCAGGAGGGTGTGGCAGACTCATATAGTAAAGAAAACCATCCCCTTCAATATTCTGAAGAGAGGCTGCGTAAGCCCCGCCCTCCCTCACATCATCTCATGTCCACCCTCACCCTTACCCTCCTCCTCCCCCGCTCCATCAAACAGACCTTCATAACAGAGATGATTATTTAGAGCAGCAGCTAGCAGCAGCAACCCAGACTGACAGCAGCTCATTGGCAAATTTTTATCACGTGCAGCCTGGTCGCGGGCGCTCCGGAGGGATTTACCGTATTAACAGGAGAAGCAGCGCAGGTGAAATTAGACACTGCCATCAGACAACATGCGGTAATTTATAAATTTTTAAAATCAGGTTGGGTCCGGATTAGCCAGCAGGTGGGTCCGGATCCGGACCGCAGTCCGCTAATCCTTGACCTCTGGTATAAAGCTTGGAACTCAACGCTATTTCTTACATTTTGAATTGAAAAAGCTTCCCAAATGAGAAGCGAAACGTCTTTAAACTTGGAAACAAAGTCCAGTGGATTGTTTTTTATCTTATGTTTGAATGACTATGACCTGGATGACTGAGAATCTTCACCAGAATTAAAGGAGTAACGATGGCCTAGTAAAAGTCCAGACCTCATTCTGATCGGGTGGGTTCTGTTTCAGTAGAATGAACAGAGAAATGAGTCGGAGGCTGGATTTCCCATTCGGTTCTGTTTCTTGAAGCTTAGAGCTGGAGGAGACGCGTGTTGTTGGCAGACTCCATGAACTGCTTTCCTCCTCAGACTTAGAGAACATGTTGGAGATGATCCAGACAGATGTTCTACCACATCACAGCTGTCAGTTCAGGGACCCGGCTCACCCCTCACCCCTCCTCCCCTCTGTGGTCTATGTGTGGACTGACTCCATCCATTGTGGGTTGAGTTAACACTAACCCTGGTTCCTGCATCTCAGACCATCAGCAGCCAATCAGGCTTCAGTGTCTGTGGTCATGTGACCTTAGTTTGTGTTCAAGGGTTTGACACGCCGGGTCAGTTCTGTGGTACTTATGAGGAGGTCGCTTCAGGGTTCCCTAAAGGAAAATTCTTGAGCAGTGAGGATGGCTTTAGACCCGCCTCCCTGACAGTCTGGCCCTTTCTGATTGGTCACCCAGTTCATCTAAAAACTACAGGGCAGACCTGAGAAACTTTTCACACCATGTTTATTATTGTTTACTATTTCGAAGAAGTTTGGCATCCGTTTGCATTCTGACACACCAAATCAGCAAACAGAGTCCAGAGTCCAGATATTCTGAGGTTTTTTTGAGAAAAAATAGCATCATGGAGACAAGAAACCCCAGCAGACAGGTCAGAGAGAACATTCTGGTTCAGTTTGAAGCAGATTCAGGTTCTAAAAACCTCCTAGAGCTCTGCTCCTTCCACTATCTTAACGTTAAGAGAGGATGAAGAATTACCAAGACATGGATGTCCAGAAGGTCCATGGTTGCTGCAGATGCATAGCTCAGGTGGGAGGATCTGTCCACAGCAGAGATTTTAGCGGCGGACTCTGTAGATCTGAGCTTCATGGTGAGGAGAGAAGAAAGCCAGAAGTTCACTTTGTCACAATCCATGTAGGAGATGGTGTAATCTGATCAAATCAGAGCAGAATAACACCTATGAATGGAGGAAAAACTAACACTGTTCATCACCATCCCTTCGATTGGACACGGTGGAGGCAGCGTCATGCTGAGATAAAGAAAATTGGCTCAGAAATGATGGACCTAAGCCATCCTGGAGGTTCACCTTCCAGCAGAACCACCCTGACCATCCAGCCAGAGACACAATGGATGGGTTAGAGGAGAGCAAATCCATGGGTTAGAATGGCCTAGTCAAAGTCGAGACAGATTCCAGCCACACATATGTGGCAATGTGATGTTCTTTGTCCAGTCTGAAGGAGATGAACATAACCTTCATTCTGTACAAACCTCTAAAGTTCCTGCAGCCAAAGTTGGTTCTAAAACATGCTGATTCGGGAGGGGTAATAAGCAAACGCACACTAAACCTTTCAGGTCTTCTATTATTTCTATTTTCCATCAATAAAAACTAAGATATAACCCACTCCAATGGAGGAAAGTCTCAGCCAATCAGATTACCTGGTGACTGATGGTCAGAGATCAGTGATGAACACTGCTGGAAACCTTTCAGACCACTAACTTCCTGTCCATGTGGCACTAGGACCCAGAGGGAAAACCCAAGAAAGCCAGCATCCGGGACAACAGGGACGGGACATACACCGTGTCCTACGTCCCAGACATCACTGGACGTTACACCATCACCATCAAGTACGGAGGAGACGAGATCCCATACTCCCCCTACAGGATCCACGCTGTGCCCACCGGGGACGCCAGCAAGTGTCTGGTCACAGGTTAGGCTCCGCCCACCGAACCTCAACTAACCAATTATATTAGAGAGTGACTCAGCCTCACTGTCTGACTGTTTTGTTTCCCTCCAGTTTCCATCGGAGGACACGGCCTGGGTGAGTATCCTGGAGTTGGTGGAACAGGAGTGGAGATGCTCCACGTTCTGCTGCCGTTCATCTTTTCTGATTCTTCACCCCTTCATCGTCACATGGTCGATGAAGGGGTGACACATGGAATCCGGGGCCCCATGAAAGACATTGATATTGGGCCCTCAACTCCACCTAACCTAAAATTTACATTGTCAATGTATTTTTTATTGTAATATTTCTACAAAGGAAAATTATCAGAACATGAAAAAGTTAAATATACATTTACTTTAAACTCAAAATAATAAAAGCTTATTTAAAACAAAAAACACAGCCGTATCTTTGCACACGTAAATAGAAAATAGGTTTAGCAATTGTGAAAATATATTCCTATTAGGTTTCACTATAACTTTATTAAAGGACAGATTATTTTTATGCTGGTCCTGAGAGCTTATTTTTCAGTAATCTCGACGTGTAATGACAAAACATGTATTTTTTATGTGAATGCTTCAGGAGAAAGAGGAGAGAGAGTGTGCGGACATTTTTACCACACTGCTGCTTATTTACACCTCTGAATTGAAAAGAAAACACATAAAACAGACCCATTATACAGATACAGGCATTCTAATAGAAAAGACATCCATTATCTGTTCTAGGTTTTGTCCCTCTCTTCTTGTCTCTTTTCTTCTTGTTTTTCTCTCTATGTTTTGTACTCAGCTGACTTTTCATGCTGTCTCAAAAGAAATAACAGATTTTTTCCAATCACTAAGCTCACTTAGCTGATTGCTTTTTCCTGTGTTTCCAAAAGTAAATAACCCAGTCCTTCTTTTCACTGTAGACAAGCCATGATCTGCTTCTCTGTTCTCCATTTTTCATTTGGATGAAATAATAGCTGCATGAATCATGACAGCAGACAAGATAGAGGAGAGCAGGAGGCGGGGTTACCAATCTACTCGCTCTGGAGATCAGAGTTCGCTGCTTTTAGATGTTGTCTCCAAAGTCTCCAGAAACTGCTGGTTGGAGTGGAG